CTATTGTCAGGCATATATAATTAATCTGCACAGCACAGTAAGCTCTATAAATTGCCATAATACATGTCTCTAGAACACAGCACAGTTTGTCTAACGTCCCCCGTATCACCAGTCTAGAGAACACAGCACAGTTTGTCTAACGTCCCCCGTATCACAAGTCTAGAGAACACAGCACAGTTTGTCTAACGTCCCCCGTATCACAAGTCTAGAGAACACAGCACAGTTTGTCTAACGTCCCCCGTATCACAAGTCTAGAGAACACAGCACAGTTTGTCAAACGTCCCCCGTATCACCAGTCTAGAGAACACAGCACAGTTTGTCTAACGTCCCTCCTATCACCAGTCTAGAGAACACAGCACAGTTTGTCTAACGTCCCCCGTATCACAAGTCTAGAGAACACAGCACAGTTTGTCTAACGTCCCCCGTATCACAAGTCTAGAGAACACAGCACAGTTTGTCTAACGTCCCTCGTATCACCAGTCTAGAGAACACAGCACAGTTTGTCTAACGTCCCTCGTATCACCAGTCTAGAGAACACAGCACAGTTTGTCTAACGTCCCTCGTATCACCAGTCTCTAGAACACAGCACAGTTTGTACAACGTCCCCCGTATCACAAGTCTAGAGAACACAGCACAGTTTGTCTAACGTCCCTTGTATCACCAGTCTCTAGAACACAGCACAGTTTGTCTAACGTCCCCCGTATCACAAGTCTAGAGAACACAGCACAGTTTGTCTAACGTCCCTCGTATCACCAGTCTCTAGAACACAGCACAGTTTGTCTAACGTCCCCCGTATCACACAAGTCTAGAGAACACAGCACAGTTTGTCCAACGTCCCCCGTATCACCAGTCTAGAGAACACAGTATGTCTACTGTCATATATATATTTAGAGAGAGAGAGAGAGAGAGAGAGAGAGAGAGAGAGAGAGAGAGAGAGAGAGAGAGAGAGAGAGAGAGAGAGAGAGGGGGGGGAGGGAGAGAGAGAGGGAGGGAGAGAGAGAGGGAGAGACACACATAAAACTGGTCTACAGAACACAGTACGGTCTGTCTATTGTCACGTTTATATAATTGGTCTACAGAATACAAGTACACTGAGTTCTGTCATATATATATATATACCTAGTCTACAGAACAGGTACTTTCTGGCTATTGTCACGTATATAAAACCAGTCTAAAGAACACAGAACAGTATCTCTTTTGTCAACTACGTAAAAGCGGTCTACAGTACACTGTACATGTCTGTCTACTGTCACTTACACACATAGATATATAAGGCCTAGAAAACACAGCACAGTTTGCCTGTCATGTATATTACTGATCTATAGAACATAGTACAGTCTGCCTATTGTCGTGCATATAAATGATCTATAGAACACAGTACAGTCTGCCTATTGTTGTGCATATAAATGATCTACAGAACACAGTATAGTCTGCCTATTGTTGTGCATATAAATGATCTACAGAACACAGTATAGTCTGCCTATTGTTGTGCATATAAATGATCTATAGAACACGGATGTGCCTACTACCAACTACATGCATCTAACCATAGCCAACAGATCACTACACAGTGCACACCAATGACGGGTAGACAAACTAAGCACTGTAGCCTTCCACAGATCAAATACATAGGCATTTCTCTCCTTCAACAGGCAGGGATACATTCTAGCTGATCTGTAGATGACTGATCCATGTCAATTGGTGCTGATAAACATCCGTAGAAGCATCAAAATGTGGGTATATGTAATATCACTAATATCAGTCAAGTAGTATATGTCATACAACAATCATATCAATCAGGAAGTACATGTCACACCACAATCATATCAATCAGGGAGTATATGTCATATGACAATCAACAATATTGTAAGAGCACTGACATTTTATTATACATGAAATAAATCAGGCAACAGTAACCCCAGCATAAACATCAGTAAACCTGGCACACAGATACATGCAGCACAAACACACCAGTACACACATACATGTGCACACATACATGTGCACACAAACACACCAGTACACACATACACATGCGCACAAACACACCAGTACACACATACTTGTACACACAAACACACCAGTACACACATAAATTTTTCTAACATTTCTTAGTTTCCATGAACAATGAACATGACAACACCAGCTGCTGAAACTATCAGTGTACAGTTCCCATGAACAATGAACATGACAACGCCAGCTGCTGAAACTATCAGTGTACAAATATTGCACAAGAGGTCTCTGATGCAAGGGCAGTTCAGCTGCCTCTCATATCACGAACAATCCACAAGGAACAGATTTTTGTATGCCAAAAATGAAAACCATTTTAGGTTTGGTTGGTGCCAATGTGTTCTGGTTACATGTCACAAGTTACACAAATCTCAGGTCTACTTCTGCAAATACAGACAGTTAATATGGCAGGTACAGCACATCTACAACCTACACACAAAGGTGGGTGGTATAGTGCACCTTCAAACTAGATCATTGTCAGCCTAGAGAGAATCTACAGAACAGACGTGGATCAGTTCAACAAGAACAGATGTGAAAATTGCTACAGAAAGTTCACAGAACAGACATAGGTGACAGTATAAACATTGGTAGACCTACAGAAAGTCCACAGATGTTAGTAACAGTACAGACATGGGTAGACCTACAGAAAGTCCAAAGAAAACATGTTAGTAACAGTACAGACATGGGTAGGCCTACAGGAAGTCCACAGATGTTAGTAACAGTAGAGACATGGGTAGACCTACAGAAAGTCCACAGATGTTAGTAACAGTACAGGCATGGGTAGACATACAGAAAGTCCACAGATGTTGGTAACAGTACAGACATGGGTAGACCTACAGAAAGTCCACAGATGTTGGTAACAGTACAGACATGGGTAGACCTACAGAAAGTCCACAGATGTTGGTAACAGTACAGACATGGGTAGACCTACAGAAAGTCCACAGATGTTGGTAACAGTACAGACATGGGTAGACCTACAGAAAGTCTAAGGAACAGATACAGGTAACAGTACAGACATGGGTAGACCTACAGAAAGTCTAAGGAACAGATACAGGTAACAGTACAGACATGGGTAGACCTACAGAAAGTCTAAGGAACAGATACAGGTAACAGTACAGACATGGGTAGACCTACAGAAAGTCCACAGATGTTGGTAACAGTACAGACATGAGTAGACCTACAGAAAGTCTAAGGAACAGATACAGGTAACAGTACAGACATGGGTAGACCTACAGAAATTCTACAGAAGAGATAAAGGTTTAAAAAAAAATGCAAAAAGCTCATGGAACAGACATGGTTAGTAAACCTATAGACAGTTTACAGGACAGAGATGGGATTGTCTATAAGACAGACTTTGGTAGGCCAACAGAAAGCGTACACCTCAATTACAACAAATTATAGGACCAATACAGATTTATTAACCAGCTGACCAACAAGACAAGTTGTGAAGAAGACCTTACTCAAATTGTGAAAAAAATCTGTGGATATGAACTCACTACAAACATGCTGTGCTGTCATGTCGAGATAGTGTCCACATCCCAAATTATCCCTCCCCACTGTCAATGCTGAAGGGCAGAGTAATAAGATAAGTGCCTAAAACTGTAGGTGCTACAGTTGTCTTGTCTCAAATGATTGGGAATAAAGCTCGCCACACTTGTCCTGTCTCAAATGATTGGGAATAAAGCTCGCCACACTTGTCTTGTCTCAAATGATTGGGATGTAGGTCTCTATACCTGTCAAACAATCAATCTATTTGACAGCACAGAAACAGACGCACATACGAAATAAATTTACAGTGGTATGTAGACGTGCGCACACACTGTTGCTACACAAATACACAATGTTCCAGACTACGTACACACATATTCAAGTGCCAACAGCCTATCTACCAACATACATACATATTTAAGTGCCTAACAGCCTACCTGCAAACATTCACACATATTCAGATGCCAAAAGAGTACCTGCAAACATGTATATTACACCCAGCATCAGCCAACTCCCCCAGAACGTAGGAAACATGAATAATTTGCCGATAGAAACCCAACATAGTTCAACAATTTGCAAACATCACAGAAGCCATAATCATTGAGAGAGAACAGATAATAAATATAATTGTCCTCCTTCTCAAACGTATCATGGGCTGGCAATACATGAAATGATGGCTAGTACATGTCTGCCTCAACAAATTTCAGAGTACATCCCTGTCCTCTCGCTCACACATCCCAAACATCACCTTGTTTTGTATATGTAACACCAGTGACGTCTGCAGACACACTGCACTGACCAGCACAGCGGACCTTTAATGCCCAGTACAGCAGCAATGTGATGGCCAGCACTGCAGCAATGTGATTTCCAGGGCTTTCTGTCCTAATCTAGATGTGATATATGATGTCCCTGCATACTACATTATCTTAACTGTTACATGATTGCAGCCAACTAATTAAAAATATAAAGTCAGAAGATGTGAACCAGCGTTATTGCTGTGTCGCCATCCGCACGTAACTCTGTAGCTACAGCGACGTTCCCCCATTCACCCAGAGTGTCAACTCTGGTACCCATTTCCTAGAGGCTGGGTTAACCCCGGGAACCGCCCAGTTTCAAACACCGACCATGGTTGCAGCGAGTCGCAGCTGGATTTGAAAGCGAGCCGCCTTCTATCAACTGCGCTAACGCAACCAATTAATTTCTGACTTGCAATGTGTACCTGGAAGTACTGCCCCAGGGCTGCTCATTTCCTGTGTGGAATCTGCTGCGAAAGCTTCTGAAAGTGACACTGAAGTGATGGGATCAACATCATACTATCAGAGGAATTAGTATCATTTCCCCAGGACTGTCGACTAGATGAGCTGTGATAACAGTGCAGCTGAAACAATTCCATATTGGTGAAATGCCACACAATATGAAAGCCTGGAGCACTAGGTGGACATCCAATAGCTCACTGCAACTGTTATGTGAACAAGGTCTACTTGCTGGTTGCCAATGCTTTACTACCAGCCCATCCTCCCATCATACAAACCTGGTGCTGCATACACATCCTGATTGCGTGAAGACCCAGCAGTCCCTCTAGTGCCAGCTCTCAAAGATGAGGAATACTGAGCTGTGGCACCTTGCCTGTTGGTGACTTCATCAGGGTACGGCTTGGCTTCCGGTGGGTGTGAAGCATTAAATCCAGGGAAAGACTCATGGCTGGACAAACTGCTGTAGGGTGATTCATCTAACTGTTTGGTGTGAGGTGGATCCGGAGGGTTATCTCGGAAGGTGGTGTTGGTACGGGTTGTGTAGGAACTCAGTGGGGAATAATTGGAGAGCCGGGTTGCAGAACTGTCAAACAGAGATGTGTTCATGTGTACATTGACTCCCTGCTGGGACAACAACTGTGCTAGAGCAGCCTTCACCCCAGCATGCTTATCTAAGTTGTGTACCGGTGGGGTCTGGTAGTCTGAGGCCTGCTGCTGCTGCTGCCTCAGTGCCCCTTCAGAATAAGCAAACGATGGAATGCGCTGGGAGTCTGATAGCCCCAGCTCTCTGGGTTTCAACTCTGGCATGTGTGAGAATGTGTTTCTGGCCGACAGGTCACTCTTGGCAGCATTTTCAAACATGACACTTTGCATGGTGGACAGCAGGTTGGGGAGCACAGAGCTAGCATCCATTTTGTCCAGGTTCTGGTCCTTCTGTATCCTAGAGAGAGCAGACATCAGCTGATCGCGAAGGTTGTTCAACAGCATGGAGGTCTGGGCATCAACACAAATGTTCTGTTTCTTGGCTATCTCTGTGAGAGACAAGTTCTCCTGTGACTGCAGCAAGTGAATCAAACTCGACAACTGAGTCTGTGCATTGCGTCTCTCATCAGTCATAGCAGCTTCACTGGTTTTCCCTGCATCCTCTTTCTGTTCTGCTGCTCTGAAGGAAAATGCAGGCTCTGTGAATGGTCTCGAAGTCGGGGGTCTTGGTAAAGAATTTTTTGAACTGGGTTCTTGTTCCCGCATCTGCTGCTCTCTGATTTCTTTCTTCCTATTTTTGCTCCACAGCTCATGGCAATCCTGATCTCTGGGTAAGCTGTAAACAAGCAAAGGATGAGGTCAGCATATCTCACACTCTCTCTCTGCATCTGTGCATGTGACATTGCTTTCTCTGTCATCTCTCTCTCTCTCTCTCTCTGCATCTGTGCATGTGACATTGCTTTCTCTGTCGTCTGTCTGTCGCTCTCCCTCTCTCTCATATAAACATAACGTTTTACTGATAAAATACAGTTGTGCAAAAGAGGAGTAGAAGGGCTGAATGTAAGACATGCCTGCGTGCCCAACTTCTCACACTTTGAAAATAAAGTTTGTTCGCTCGCTCTCTCCATCCGTGTATGTGACAATGCTCTCTCTCATGCATGTGTGTGTGTGCATGTTCACATGTAAGAAAGAAAGGTAATATTTTCTGTAACATTGTGTGTGCAGCAAAATGTTACATGTCCACAAGACAACAGACAGCAGAAGGTAAATGAAGCACAAAATAGATCATAATCTGTTTAAATCACCACTAATTACTGGCTAATAGACAGTAATAACTGAGGCATTTAGAAAATAATGGCAGACAGCACAGACAAAAACTACACAAAAGAACTGAATGGAAGTAGATCATGAGGTAGCACAAGAAGATGGGAGAGAGACGATATTCAAGCAGACTTGCAAATACTTCAGTCACCAAATGGAATGAGAAGGCTAATCAAAAAAGAGGGAACGGAGGGAGGTCATATAATAGCAAATGAACCTCAATAGTGAGGAATGCTGAAAAGATGATCTTACTTTGGTGGTGGGATGTTGTTTGGATCCACATCCTTCAGCCAGGAAGACTTGAGAGCTTGTTCAGCAGTGCATCTTCTGCTGGGGTCCAACTCCAGCATGTGATCTAGCAGATCCAAGGCCAGCTTAGGCAGGCTGAAAATGATCACAGCAATCACAGAGACATCCCTTGTTGATATACAACATCAACTTGATATACAACACAGCAATCACAGAGACATCCCTTGTTGATATACAACATCAACTTGATATACAACACAGCAATCACAGAGACATCCCTTGTTGATATACAACATCAACTTGATTTACAACACAGCAATCAGAGACATCTCTTGTTGATATACATCATCAACTTGATATACAACACAGCAATCACAGAGACATCCCTTGTTGATATACAACACAGCAAAGACAGAGACATCCCTTGTTGATATACAACACAGCAATCACAGAGACATCCCTTGTTGATATACAACAACAACAATCACAGAACATCAACTTGATATACAACACAGCAATCACAGAGACATCCCTTGTTGATATACAACACAACAATCATAGAACATCAACTTGATATTCAACACAGCAATCACAGAACATCCCCTTGACGACATACAACACAGAAATCACAGAACATCCCCTCGATGACATACAACACAGAAATCACAGAACATCAACTTGATGACATACAACACAGCAATCAAATAGAATTCTACTTGTTAATATACAACACAGCAATCACAAAACATCCACTTGATATATAACACAGCAGTCACAGAGACATCCACTTGATATACAACACAGCAATCACAGAGACATCCACTTGATATACAACACAGCAATCACAGAGACATCCACTTGATATACAACACAGCAATCACAGAGACATCCACTTGATATACAACACAGCAATCACAGAGACATCCACTTGATATACAACACAGCAGTCACAGACACCTACTTGATATACAACACTGCAGTCAGAGACACCTACTTGATATACAACACAGCAGTCACAGACACCTACTTGATATACAACACAGCAGTCACAGACACCTACTTGATATACAACACAGCAGTCACAGACACCTACTTGATATACAACACAGCAGTCACAGACACCTACTTGATATACAACACAGCAGTCACAGACACCTACTTGATATACAACACAGCAGTCACAGAGACATCTACTTGATATACAACACAGCAGTCACAGAGACACCTACTTGATATACAACACAGAAGTCACAGAGACACCTACTTGATATACAACACAGCAGTCACAGACACCTACTTGATATACAACACAGCAGTCACAGAGACATCTACTTGATATACAACACAGCAATCACAGAGACATCCACTTGATATACAACACAGCAATTACAGAGACACCTACTTGATATACAACACAGCAGTCACAGAGACACCTACTTGATATACAACACAGCAATCACAGAGACACCTACTTGATATACAACACAGCAATCACAGAGACATCTACTTGATATACAACACAGCAATCACAGAGACACCTACTTGATATACAACACAGCAGTCACAGAGACACCTACTTGATATACAACACAGCAATCACAGAGACACTTACTTGATATACAACACAGCAGTCACAGAGACATACACTTGACACAGCAGTCACAGAGACATCCATTTGATATACAACACAGCAATCACAGAGACATCCACTTGATGACATATAACACAGCAATCACAGATATCCATTTAATGACACATAATACCACAGCATCACACAGACAATCACTTGACAACATATAACAAAGCAATGAAATTTCCCATTAATGACATATAACACAGCAATGACAGACAACCACTTGATGTCATGTAACACACAACAGTGAGACATTCTCCTTCTCTCCCTCTACTTGATGACATGTAACACACAACAGTGAGAAATTCTCCCTCTCTCCATCCACTTGATGACATGTAACACACAACAGTGAGACATTCTCCTTCTCTCCCTCTACTTGATGACATGTAACACACAACAATCAGAAATTCTCCCTCTCTCCATCCACTTGATAAGTAACACACAACAGTGAGACATTCTCCCTCTCTCCATCCACTTGATGACATGTAACACACAAAAGTGAGACATTCTCCTTCTCTCCCTCTACTTGATGACATGTAACACACAACAGTGAGACATTCTCCTTCTCTCCCTCTACTTGATGACATGTAACACACAACAGTGAGACATTCTCCTTCTCTCCCTCTACTTGATGACATGTAACACACAAGAGTGAGACATTCTCCCTCTCTCCCTCTACTTGATGACATGTAACACACAACAGTGAGACATTCTCCCTCTCTCCTTCTACTTGATGACATGTAACACACAACAGTGAGACATTCTCCTTCTCTCCCTCTACTTGATGACATGTAACACACAACAGTGAGACATTCTCCCTCTCTCCCTCTACTTGATGACATGTAACACACAACAGTGAGACATTCTCCCTCTCTCCCTCTACTTGATGACATGTAACACACAACAGTGAGACATTCTCCTTCTCTTCCTCTACTTGATGACATGTAACACACAACAGTGAGACATTCTCCCTCTCTCCCTCTACTTGATGACATGTAACACACAACAGTGAGACATTCTCCCTCTCTCCCTCTACTTGATGACATGTAACACACAACAGTGAGACATTCTCCCTCTCTCCCTCCACTTGATAAGTAACACACAACAGTGAGACATTCTCCCTCTCTCCCTCCACTTGATAAGTAACACACAACAGTGAGACATTCTCCCTCTCTCCTTCTACTTGATGACATGTAACACACAACAGTGAGACATTCTCCTTCTCTCCCTCTACTTGATGACATATAACACACAACAGTGAGAAATTCTCCCTCTCTCCCTCTACTTGATGACATGTAACACACAACAGTGAGACATTCTCCCTCTCTCCCTCCACTTAACAAGATTTCACAGTGAAATACTCTCTCTCCCTCGCTTTCCTCCATCCCCTTTATATTGTGACTAGGCTGAAAGACAAGTCGGAAGTTTGGTGCCACACCATGTTAAAGTTTAGCCAGCTAGAACAGCTGACACTGTGATAGACAAGATAAAGACTACATCGATAAAACATTACAGACAAGATAAAGACTGCATTGATAAAACATTACAGACAAGCTAAAGACTGCATTGATAAAACATTACAGACAAGACAAAGACAACATTGATAAAACATTACAAACAAGATAAAGACTACATTGATATAAAATTACAGATGAAATAAAGACTATACTGAAATAAAATTATAGATGAGATAAAGACTACACTAATTTAAATTATAGATGAGATAAAGACTGAACTGATATAAAATTATCGATAAGATAAAAGTCTATACTGATATAAAATTAAAGAAGAGGTAAAGACTTAACTGATTAGAAAATTATGAGATAAAGACTACACTGATTTAAATTATAGATGAGATAAAGACTACACTGATTTAAATTATAGATGAGATAAAGACTAAACTGATAAAAAATTATAGATAAGATAAAGTCTACACTGATATAAAATTATAGATGAGATAAAGACTATTTTTAGGGTTAGTTGCGTATCCTTTACAGGACGCTGCAGAACCAGCCATTACTTTCTAGACGGTCGGCCCCCTGACACCACTGTCGAAACCAACGCAAGGCGCATGGCTCGCAGCTGGGATCCAACCCGGTATCCCGGCATTACAAAATGTTCGGGTCGACTTAGCCACAGAGCCGACTATAAAGACTATACTGATTTAAAATTAAAGTTGAGATAAAGACTACGTTGATATAAAATTACAGATGAGATAAAGACAGCTGAAACATGACCATGTGTTGTGCATCAGAGAACGAAACTTTCATCCCAACAGCTGAAACATGACCATGTGCTGTGTATCACAGGCAGGAAACTTTTATCACTACAGCTAAAACATGACCCTGTGCTGTGTATCATAGACACCAAATTTTATCCTAACATCTGAAACATGACCATGTGTTGTGTATCATAGACACCAAATTTCATCCCAACAGCTGAAACATGACCATGTGTTGTGTATCAGACACCAAACTTTCATCCCAACAGCTGAAATATGACCTTGTGCTGTGTATAGCAGAAACAAAACTTACATCCCAACAGCTAAAACATGACCATGTGTTGTGTATCATAGACACCAAATTTCATCCCAACAACTGAAACATGACCATGTGTTGTGTATCAGACACCAAATTTCATCACAGACAGAAAACTTTCATCCTAACAGCTGAAACATGACCCTGTGCTGTGTTCAACAGTTCATCCCAACAGTTGAAACATGACCTTGTGCTGTGTATCAGACAGGAAACTTTCATCCCAACAGCTGTAACATTACTCTGTGCTGTGAATCACAGACAGGAAACGTTCATCCCAATAGCTGAAACATGACCTTGTGCTGTGTATCACAGACAGGAAACGTTCACCCCAACAGCTGAAACATGACCTTGTGCTGTGTATCAGACACGAAACTTTCATCCCAACAGCTGTAACATTACTCTGTGCTGTGAATCACAGACAGGAAACGTTCATCCCAACAGCTGAAACATGACCTTGTGCTGTGTATCACAGACAGGAAACGTTCATCCCAACAGCTGAAACATGACCTTGTGCTGTGTATCAGACAGGAAACTTTCATCCAAACAGCTGAAACATGACCATGTGCTGTGTACACAGCCTCTTATTTCAGAATATACTCACAATGAAAAATCATCTCGCAGCCGTCTCCTGTGCTGACGCTTTGGCCGGAAACTGTGGAAGAGTGGTAGTTTGATGACTTCTGGCCACACTGCTGGGCATGGGGTGCCACAAGTCCGAGAGATCAGCTCCAGTTGGGCAAACTCTTCCTTGGCTTGAAAGATGGGTCTCTTCGTGAACAGCTCCCCAAGGATGCATCTAGTAGAAGACATGCATGGACATTAACTAATTCTGTGATGGGACAATGGTATCAAGTATCGGTAGCATTTTATAGTTATCTGAACTGTGTTGAATAGGTACAGCATAAAATTATGTGATAACACTATTGATTTTGCACTGCATAAAATTATGTGATAACACTATTGATTTTGCACTGCATAAAATTATGTGATAACACTATTGATTTTGCACTGCATAAAATTATGTGATAACACTATTGATTTTGCACTGCATAAAATTATGTGATAACACTGCACTGCATAAAATTATGTGATAACACTATTGATTTTGCACTGCATCAAATTATGTGATAACACTATTGATTCTGCACTGCATAAAATTATGTGATAACACTATTGATTTTGCACTGCATAAAATTATGTGATAACATTATTGATTTTGCACTGCATAAAATTATGTGATAACACTTTTGATTCTGCACTGCATAAAATTATGCCTGTCAATATTTAAAATCATTAATAAGTCAGATATTCATAATACAAAAGTGCAGTGGAAATAACCATGGATTAAGGGGGTCAGCTAAAGTGAAATGAAAAGTGCACAAACAGAAGTCTGAAGCAAATCATGAGGTGTCTACTTTGTTGTGGTGGGGGAGCATGCGTATCTCAATTATTCTGAGAGTTATGTCGGCAGTAGCCTAGCCATCGGCAGCGTCCCTCAAGCCAGACAGGTCACAGGGTAGAAACAAGGCAAAGAAAGACACCCTGCTCCTCCAGGTTGGAGAGAAGGGAAGGGGCTTCTCAAGTTGGGGCCGACACTTCCACCTTAGTCAAAACAAAATGTTATCATGAAACAAGCCTCGTGATCAGATTGATCTAAAATAGTCACCAACTGCAAAGAGAAGACCAATCAGAGGCAGGTGATATCTGCAGCAGTAACCTCAAGAGCTTAGAATACTGATGAGGTAATGAACGAACGAACAAACGAACAAACTTTATTTTCAAAGGGTCACAAATTGGGCACGCAGGCTCGTCTTACATTCGGCCCTTCCAGTCAACCATCTTACTAATAAAGCATGTTATGATCATATGATGATATACATATTATGAATATTATAAAAGAACACAAAAGCATGAGTTAGTGCATGCAAAAACCCGCGCGTGCATACATACACCCACATACACACGCTCACCCACTCACACACTCACACATGCATGCATTACATACATACATACAGGCATACATAAATACACACATATATACAAACAAACATGCATACACGCATACACACAGGCATACATACATACACACACTATGAGGCTAGCAAAGTGACAAGTCTAGCTGGCAGATGCCAGTAGCTGACGCCTGCAAATGGAAATAACTGAACAAATACGTGAACAACAAAACCCTTTTCTATGGCACAAGTGACCTCCTATTATCTTCTTCTTTTCATTCGTCCTTGTGATGTAATTGCTTTGTGCCTGGTTACAGCAAAGCTGCCATATTTGTGTCTCTCTGCTACCACATCTGGCTTCACAGAGCATTTGTTGACCAGGTTAACGCCCCTGATAGCTTTGTAAGACACAACTGGTGTGGTGTTTTCTTTGTTTCTTTTCCACAGGTGTTATCTCTGGAAAACCTGTCCAGGGCAACCGCAGGCAGACGGGAAAGCAGGGGCAGATCATGGGCATTCCGCGCCATCTAGGGCGCCTTCTATAAATGCTAAGCCAACACCGCTCTGGTCCTGGGCTAACCCAAGAAATCATCACATCCTGCATACAACTGCACAGATGTGCCCTCCAGAGATCAGAACTGAGCAGCCCATAGATCCGGGACTTCGATGACCACACAAATGTACATTCTTCTTCAGCGTGTTGGACATCTGAACCTTTGTGCAAACAAGTACGACTTCTGACGGTCGGACATTTAAGACTTTGCTCTTATGCCATAGGACATGTTTCTGACGGATATATGAGTCTAATCAGCTGACTGACATAGGCAGACTATAGTGATATATCTCAACGTGGTGGCGACGATCTAAGGTCGAAAAAGGATGCACGAAGACAGGACTTTGAGATACAGCCCGCAGGAGATGATGTTTATCTAAGCTGTGAGCAAATCTCTTGGTCTAGGGCTCCAAGTCTCAGCAGCTCAGCTGTTCTTTCACTTAGCGGATGTTTTAACCAAGAGCTGTCCGTTGGGCTAGCGGGCTTTACTCATGTTCCAAATTAGAAGATTTCTGGGCACTGCATCTCTGTGGGCCATCAACTTTGAGATCCCATGCCAGGTTGGTTTATGCTCATTTTAGCCATAATCTCTGGCACACAACGGGGACATGTGGCAGAAGTTTTACATGAGGATCTAAAACCAGCAAAGCATCTGGCGTCTGGGGGTGAGTACATAGTATCTCTTCACATACATCACGACGACCTTAACTTTCACTGACACTTGTAGCCAAAATCACCTGCTAATATGAAACCAGTGACCTGTCACTACAACCTCAGTAGCCAACAGCAAAGGGACAAAACACTATCACACTTATTAGCTATCACTTCAAAGACACTGACAGGTCACTAGAACATCAGTGTCCATCATTTCATGAACAGAGATCACTACTACAAGTCAATAACTTACCCTAAACTCCACATATCTATGGCTGGACCATATCTCTCCTCGCCCAAAAGCAGCTCAGGTGGTCTGTACCATAAGGTGATGACTTTGTTGGTGTACAATCTCTCCTTGTCATCAGCATGGTAGTAGCGGGCCAAGCCCAAGTCTCCCAGCTTGATCTGACCCCTGAGAACAGCAACAATCATCACAGGTCAACATACATAAAACAGACATAAGATCTGACCCCTGAGAACAGCAACAATCATCACAGGTCAACATACATAAAACACAGACATCAGATCTGACCCCTGACAACAGCAACAATCATCACAGTTCAACATACGTAAAACAGACATCAGATCTGACCCCTGAGAACAGCAACAATCATAACAGTTCAACATACATAAAACAGACATCAGATCTGACCCCTGAGAACAGCAAGTCATTAGAGTTCAAAATACATAAAACAGACATCAGATCTGACCCCTGAGAATAGCAACAATCATCACAGTTCAACATACGTAAAACAGACATCAGATCTGACCCCTGAGAACAGCAACAATCATCACAGTTCAACATACATAAAACAGACATCAGATCTGACCCCTGAGAACAGCAAGTCATTAGAGTTCAACATACATAAAACAGACATCAGATCTGACCCCTGAGAATAGCAACAATCATCAGAGTTCAACATACATAAAACAGACATCAGATCTGACCACTGAGAACAGCAACAGTCATCACAGTTCAACATACATAAAACAGACATCAGATCTGACCCCTGAGAACAGCAAGTCATTAGAGTTCAACATACATAAAACAGACATCAGATCTGACCCCTGAGAATAGCAACAATCATCAGAGTTCAACATACATAAAACAGACATCAGATCTGACCCCTGAGAACAGCAAGTCATTAGAGTTCAACATACATAAAACAGACATCAGATCTGACCCCTGAGAATAGCAACAATCATCAGAGTTCACATACATAAAACAGACATCAGATCTGACCCCTGAGAATAGCAACAATCATCAGAGTTCAACATACATAAAACAGACATCAGATCTGACCCCTGAGAATAGCAACAATCATTAGAGTTCAACATACATAAAACAGACTCCCCGTGTGGGTTCCGGGGCCCTATTGTGTGAAAAACTAGAATAGACCCACTGCCTTACCAAAAGCATGTCGTAAGAGTCGACTAACTGGGGAGCTTCGTTTGAAGTCAGAGTGCATCTGCCGGAGAGGCAAGGAACCAAGTCTGTATTCAAGAGAATGAGATCTGTAAAACTGATGTACACGCAACACTCAGGTTCTGGAGCAGGACTGCAGTTCAGTAGTGGACGAGCACCCAGAACCTTCCGCCAGAGTGTACAGCTGGTGAACGCGAAGAAGAAGGAGAAGAAGATAAAAGACATCAGATCTGACCCCTGAGAATAGCAACAATCATCAGAGTTCAACATACATAAACAGACATCAGATGTGACCCCTGAGAATAGCAACAATCATCACAGTTCAACATACATAAAACAGACATCAGAACTGTTAAATTTAAAATTAGAAAAAAATGGTCAGCGATAAAAAAAGTCTGTTGACAGTATGTAGAGGGTCTATGAATGTATATATATATATATAATTGAGCTTTTACATACAAAAATAATAGGTTTGGACCATTCCTAAGAAATCCAATATGGCAACTGTTTATTTTGGTTTCCATAGCAAGTCAGTTTGCAGTATTTTATTGATCAGCAGTACAAAACCATATACTATATCAGAACATATACATTCAATAGTATGCATGTTAGCTTAACTAAAGAGTGGCTGGTAAACTGTGTAGTGGTTTACAGCTACGCTGTGATATCTGCGCCTCTTTCACCCCAATGCAGCATAGGTCCTCAACCAACAGATGCTAAGTGGTTCTATCCATTGCTATTGCATGCAGCTCATCCCAAGTCATCCTCATCCTTTTAAATTCACTCTCCAGCTTGCTTCTGTGCATGTTTTTTTGGTCAACCTTTATGTCTACATCCCTGTGGGTTCCAGCGCACAGACATTCTAGTTATATTGTTTTCAGGTTTTCTCAACATGTGTCTGATACAACACCAGCATTGCAATCATCTAGCAAATCTTTCAGTCACTTGTGTGTTGCATGCCTGTTGAGGAACATGTGTCTATTGTTCCCGTGAAATCAACACAAGGAAGAGTATAGTGACATAACAGTGCAGGATTTACCAACAGGCAGGACAAGACAACAAATGCTTGCAGAGGCAATAAGCACAAAAGCGCACAATGCCATGGGAACTGGTACAAGTGAAGCAGTAATGCTCACCTGTTGTTGAGTAGGATGTTGGAACACTTGATATCCCTGTGTAAGAAGTTCTTCCTGTGACAGTACTGAATTCCCTCCAAGAGCTGTTTCATGAACGAGGCAATGTTTTCTCCAGCCAGCACCACCAAGCCTGAGTCGAGGAGACCCATGAGATCATGGTCCATATATTCAAACACCAGATAGAAAGAACCTGCAAGAGAGGAGCACACAGCCATGATTACCAACTCTAGCTGACCCACTCATACACAACTGTGCTCTGGCTACAGCCAGCTACCTCAGAATGAAGTCATCTGGTGCAGTCATGTGTCAACTGCACAGGAAGCAGACCATTACCTGACAACCACTGTGCAATATCAGGCTTTAGATGACAGAATACCAATTCAATACCTTCACTGAATGAGATGACTTTGCTGAGCTCCTGTCATGTAGATGATGTGTGTGAATAGGTGTCATTGTGTAAACAGGTGTTACTGTGTATTGATTGCTATCGATGCCTGAGGCTGGCAATGAAGGCCCCCCACCCCCCAATAATTTTTTTTTATCTGCCTGTAGTTTTCATATTTTTAAAAATATTTAAGAGGGGGGAGGTGCTGTCAAAATGCCTGAGCTTCCAGCCCCTCTGATACAAGCATTAGCTGAGACAAGCTTTTATACCTGACACAGTTCTAATGTTACACATTGGACACATGACGGGTCAAGCAGGAAACCCTTGCACCTAGGCTTCTATGCTGACAACATTATTTCTTGCCAATGGAGTCAACACAAGTAAGACTAATGCTCAATCCAATTCCGAACAACAAGCCATACCATACCTTGGCAACCAGCGACCTCTGAACCCACTCAAAAGTGTCTATTCTTCTTGACCCTTGTCAGCAGTAGACACAGCTGCCCAAATCTCTCTACCATCTGGGGGGGGGGGTGGCGGCAGTAAGAGCACTGAGCACCAAAAATAGAATTAGGAAATCTAAGTGAGGCCACTTTTCTAGCTCCCACCTTCCCACAATGTGGCCCATAAACATCGGTGCTAACCCCTACCGCCCCCTGCTTGTCTGCTCGGTGTGTGACTACAACAGTTCCATTTCTTAAACTCAAGGCTGGTGGACCTAGAAGCCAAGGTCATTAAGATATAAAAAGTTCGGGGGGAGGGGGGGGACAGGAAATGAGAGAGTAAAGGGAAAAATACAGAGAAAGAGAAGATAAAGATCAGAGGGAGGGAGTCAATGCAGGAGATGGGAAGGAGGGAGCAAAAGGTAGTAGAGCCAGATAACAACTTATACTGCAGGGCCCCAAGCCACCCTGCTAGTGTGCATGTATCCATGGGCTGCCAGTCTTCCCTAGCCTTTACCAGGCCAGTCCAGCTAAAAATTGCTGATAATCAACTGCCCTCAAACCTAAAACAACTGTAAATGAAAGTAGCCGAAAGGCCAAAAAAAAAAGCCTAACTGCAAAAAATTGCAGAACTTCTGATGATCTTCTTCTTCTTCTGCTTTCATCTGAAGATGTAATTGCGTTGTGTCCGTTTACAGCGTGGCTGCGATATTTGCACCTTTCGGCCAACACATCCGACTTCTGCGGGCATTTATTGACCAGGTTGGCCTTCCCAGTTAGTTTCTGGGGACATGGCAGTCTTATTGTTGTGTGGTCATCTTTATTTCCCATGTCACAGGTGGTGCCCCAATCAGGCTGGTCCAGAGAGGCCACATAATGCTGATCAGCCCTCAACAGAAGGCAGGGACAGAAAATGAGCATTCCCCACCATCAAAGGAGGCTTCCACAAATGCAGAGCTAATACATGGTGCTCTGGTACTGGGCTCACCCAAGGAATCGTCACGTCCTGCTCATGACTGTTTAACCTCACTTCCATATATTGAACATCTCATACATCATGGGCTATCTCTTTAGTAGCCAACAATATGCAGCCTGCAGACCTGGGATTTCATTTACCTACACCAAAAAATGAGTACTTTGTTTCTTTTGCATGTTAGACTTTTACTGCAGTGCACTTCCTCATCCACTATAGTTTTACTTGGTTTACGAGCTCTGCATCTCTAGGGACTATCATGTCAGAGAATCCCGAACAGTTTTTTTCTTCTTATACCTTCAGATGTCAGTGTGGATATATTTGAAGAAATCAGCAGTCAACTTGAGATTGTTGACATCTCCACACAGTTTATCCTCAAAAGTTGTAGGTGTTAGCCAGAATCATTTTCTCTGTTCTGCATATATTGGACACTCTTGCAGCCAGTATTCCGAAGATCTTATTGTGGCGGTCAAAATTCAAGGTCAGAATGTGTCTTTTCTAAGGTAAAAAACAAGGCTCAAGGTAGGGGAAGCAATTCTATTGTTAATTTCAAGTTTCCTGGTCGGCTACGAACCCTGCCTCTTGCTTCTCAATACAGAATTGTGTCTGTTTTCATTTCTGTCCATGATATTCTAAACCTCCTGAAAGAATCACATCTACTCAGTTTCATTATTCTATGACTCACTCATTGTGCCCACACAGCAGAGAGATAACACAACATTCACTCATTGAGTCCACACAGCAGACAGATAACACAACACTCACTCATTGTGTCCACACAGCAGACAGATAACACAACACTCACTCATTGAGTCCACACAGCAGACAGATAACACAACACTCATTGTGTCCACACAGCAGACAGATAACACAACACTCACTCATTGAGTCCACACAGCAGACAGATAACACAACATTTTAGTCATAAGACTGTTAGCCTGATGTGACATTCTGTTCTGTTCACTCTATATTCTACTAGAAGTGTCTTTGGACAGGGCAATTTTCAGTTCTTTTTTTTTTCCATCAGATGTCTTTAAACTGACAAGACATACCTGTTAGTGTGTCACCATTGTTACAACAGAGCAAACCAGCATGTATTCAGTTTTGTTAGGGAACAGCTGACAAACACTGGATGTGGCCGGTGACAATGCTTGCTATAAACCATGAAGGATGGACAGAACACTTGAAAGCTACAGAGCATACAGAAGAGAGAAGAAGCCCATGGAGGGCACGCTGTTGACATGCTGACAGAGAACAGTTACCTCGGTCCTTCTTGAAGTCTAGAGCATCCTGCTTGTCGGTGACAATCTCCTTCAGGTTGATAATGTTGGGATGTTGCAGCTGTCGCAAGATCTTGATCTCTCGAACTGCTGTAATGGGGAATCCTTCTTTCTCATTCTCCAGGCGCACTTTCTTTAAAGCTACAAATATTCCTACAAATACAAATGATAATTTCACAAAGCTGCAAACATAAGTGTTAACACAACAACTGAGCTGTGGTAATGTTTCTCTGTAATTTGTTCTCAAACTGGCATCCACTCGCTACCACTAGAGTAGACTTGATAACAGTCTCTAATACTTGCCAATATTGGACTAGAATTGATGACAAACAACAGGAAAGCTAACATTTCATACTTGCCAACATGGACCAGGCTTGATGAAACCACGAAAGCTTACATACTCTCATACCTGCCAAAACTGGACCAGGCTTGATGAAACCACAAAAGCTAACACTATCATACTTGCCAAAACTGGACCAGGCTTGATGAAACCACGAAAGCTAACATACTCTCATACTTGCCAAAACTGGAGCAGGCTTGATGAAACCACGAAAGCTAACATACTCTCATACTTGCCAAAACTGGAGCAGGCTTGATGAAACCACGAAAGCTAACATACTTTCATACTTGCCGAAACTGGACCAGGCTTGATGAAACCACGAAAGCTAACATACTCTCATACTTGCCGAAACTGGACCAGGCTTGATGAAACCACGAAAGCTAACACACTCATACTTGCCAAAACTGGACCAGGCTTGATGAAACCACGAAAGCTAACATACTCTCATACTTGCCAAAACTGGAGCAGGCTTGATGAAACCACGAAAGCTAACATACTCTCATACTTGCCAAAACTGGACCAGGCTTGATGAAACCACGAAAGCTAACATACTATCATACTTGCCAAAACTGGACCAGGCTTGATGAAACCACGAAAGCTAACATACTCTCATACTTGCCAAAACTGGACCAGGCTTGACGAAACCACGAAAGCTAACATACTCTCATACTTGCCAAAACTGGACCAGGCTTGACGAAACCACGAAAGCTAAAATACTCTCATACTTGCCAACACTGGAGCAGACTTGATGACTAACAAAATGAAAACTAACATTTTCTCATACTTGCCAACACTGGATCAGGCTTGATGACAAACAACATAAAAGCTAACATTCTTTCATACTTGCCAACACTGGATCAGGCTTGATGACAAACAACATAAAAGCTAACATTCTTTCATACTTGCCAACACTGGATCAGGCTTGATGACAAACAACATAAAAGCTAACATTCTTTCATACTTGCCAACACTGGATCAGGCTTGATGACAAACAACATAAAAGCTAACATTCTTTCATACTTGCTAACACTGGATCAGGCTTGATGACAAACAACATAAAAGCTAACATTCTTTCATACTTGCCAACACTGGATCAGGCTTGATGACAAACAACATAAAAGCTAACATTCTTTCATACTTGCCAACACTGGATCAGGCTTGATGACAAACAACATAAAAGCTAACATTCTTTCATACTTGCCAACACTGGATCAGGCTTGATGACAAACAACATAAAAGCTAACATTCTTTCATACTTGCTAACAGTCTAGATATCCTACACCACAAAAGCTGCACACGGGTTAGGTTTTAAACATGCGCAGTGAACATCCACAACATCCAGAACACACAAGTCTACAGCAGACACATCCTGGCACATTTCTGTAGAAGACAGGCAGGAACATTACAACGAGAGTTAAAGCATGTTGTCTTTTCCAAGGATAGCCTTATCACTTTACAGCTGTCTGTTGGACCTGCTAAACGCCCCCATATGCTCATCTGCTTGACTTCATTCTGATAGCAGAGAAAAGCCTGGTCAATGCTGACATAAGTAAGCATACAATCAGAGAATAAGCCATTGCCATGTTTGCTATTCCCTACAAAATGTCAGAGATATGAAACCATTGTATTGTGCAGCCAACAAACCACAAACATCAGCCAGTCAGTGCAAGAATGTAAACGTCATCTGTGTTGTGCAGCCAACAAAACCACAAACATCAGTCAGTCAGTGCAAGAATGAAAACATCACGTCACCTGTGTTGTGCAGCCAACAAAACCACAAACATCAGTCAGTGCAAGAATGAAAATGTCACGTCACCTATGTTGTGCAGCCAACAAAACCACAAACATCAGTCAGTCAGTGCAAGAATGAAAACGTCACGTCACCTATGTTGTGCAGCTAGCAAAACCACAAACATCAGTCAGTCAGTGCAAGAATGAAAACGTCACCTGTGTTGTGCAGCCAACAAAACTACAAACATCAGTCAGTCAGTGCAAGAATGAAAACATCACGTCACCTATGTTGTGCAGCCAACAAAACCACAAACATCAGTCAGTGCAAGAATGTAAATGTCACCTGTGTTGACATCCCTGGCCTTGTACACCTGGCCGTAGGTGCCCTCCCCGATAATCTGAATGATGTCAAACGCTTCCACACAGCGCTCGCCCCAGTCTTCCTGCTTGTTGTTGCTACGGCGATTGTAACACAGCCTACAAATAAACAAGGCCTAACATCAGCAGACATATTTCACATAGCAGCACAAACCGTTCTCTCCCCCATAATAAAGTTGTTGTGGCAATGTACTTGGACAAACAGTACAATTTGCAAGCTTTCTCACAATGCATCACGACAGTCAATGACAAGAACTGTATACCCACAAGAAAGAGCTGTAAAAGTTCTTCTCCTGTAAGAACACTAAGAACGGATACTGCAAATGTCCCAAAGGCTACCTGTGATGATAGATGAATGTTTTCATTCTCCTGTAAGAACAGATACTGCAAATGTCCCAAAGGCTACTTGTGATGATAGATGAATGTTTTCATTCTCCTGTAAGAACAGATACTGCAAATGTCCCAAAGGCTACCTGTGATGACAGATGAATGTTTTCAGGGAGTGACAAAAGAAAGGACATGAGGATTCTACAGTCACTGTAGACCCAGCAAGAAAAGCTACACAGCAGCAAAGCATGTATTCACAAGTGTGCTACTAGAACAATCCTCACACAAGTGTGCTACTGGAACAATCCTCACACACAAGTGTGCTACTGGAACAATCCTCACACACAAGTGTGCTACTGGAACAATCCTCACACACAAGTGTGCTACTGGAACAATCCTCACACACAAGTGTGCTACTGGAACAATCCTCACACAAGTGTGCTACTGGAACAATCCTCACACAAGTGTGCTACTGGAACAATCCTCACACAAGTGTGCTACAGGAACAATCCTCACACAAGTGTGCTACTGGAACAATCCTTACACAAGTGTGCTATTGGATTTAGAGCACCTATAGGTTTACCTTGGGTGCTACGGTGTTCATTCTGGCATGAACCAAGCAGTCAATTTGATAGAGAGACAACACTAGCCACTATGCACAATCAAATATAGAATTAAACACTGTATTGAACTTTAAATCAAATTAGTGCTGTTTAGATCAGAAATATGAAGTGTGGCTACAAATATTCACTGGTTGTTACACAAAACAGAAGAACGGACATGATATGACAGCAGCACTGAAGTGGTGGAGTAGATGGTAGACATGACAGCAGCACTGAAGTGGTGGAGTAGTTGGTAGACATGACAGCAGCACTCAAGTGGTGGAGTAGATGGTAGACATGACAGCAGCACTGAAGTGGTGGAGTAGATGGTAGACATGACAGCAGCACTGAAGTGGTGGAGTAGATGGTAGACATGACAGCAGCACTGAAGTGGTGGAGTAGATGGTAGACATGACAGCAGCACTGAAGTGGTGAAGTAGATGGTAGACATGACAACAGCACTCATGTCATAGAGCTGACAATAAGAACTAACATACACTGAATCCAGAGCTGAGACAAGGAAACCAGACAGCACACTTTTGAAAAAAGCCTGTTAATAGTATAATTAAACAGTTGTGTCCCTAGAATGCACAGAGGGAATAAAACAGATGACACACACAAGCACATGGAGAAGAGCTCAGACAGTTAACGGGAGATGCTGCAGGAAACTGCAAAAAACAAAGCTTGGCGTGAGTTCGCTGAGACATTTTGGGAGCTATTACAGATGCCAACAGTGGAGAATAGAGAGTGAAAAACAATGGCATTCCTAATCACCACTAAATTACTGATATCAAAGGGACAGTATACTGTGACAGCTGAGGCATATAGAAAGAACGGCTGATAACAGAAAGAGGAAAAACTAGGCACACACGAAAGTTCAATGGGAGTAAACCACAAGGCAGAGAAATAACAAAACTAGGCACACACAAAAGTTCAATGGGAGTAGACCACAAGGCAGAGAAATAACAAAACTAGGCACACACAAAAGTTCAATGGGAGTAGACCACAAGGCAGAGCAAGAAGATGGTGGAGTAATAATACACATGCAGACCCAGGGTCATATTTAGACAACATGTGAAGCTGCACAGGGTGCAAAACCAGAACATGTGTGACAAGTGTCTACAGAATTTTGCTGTTTAGTCCCTCTGTCCTTCCCCTCCGGCAAAACCCCTGCCACTTCAACATGGTTTTCTTCATAATATTGCTCAAGATCACCTTGTAGACATAGGAAATTCTATTGCCTACAGTTAAACCAACAGGCTGAAAACTTATTCTTTCTATGTATTAAGCATCACTGCTCCAACAGGACCTCAAATCTTGCACATCTGATTTACCTACCAAATTTTAATACTTCAGCACAGTTCAAATATATCCACAACTTACTGCCCAAGTAATTTAGTTAGTTAGCTGGGTTATCATCATTGCACTCCAGACATGTCCATAGGTGCTCAGATCCTCCCCTCAGTATGAACCCCAACGTCCGATGGCTAATAGTACCAGTTCTATGTTGATTAACAAGTCTTCTGGCGTGTCTGGTTTTTTGCTGTGCCGATCTTAATTCCCAAGTCTGCCATTCTGGCAAGTGATGTGGATTCACTGCCACCAAAGTCCTCTATCCTTCCCATTTCTCTGAGGGCATTGATAATATCAGCATGATCCATTGGCCGACCGTCGGTAGTGATAGTTTATCCAGCCAACCTGTCAGCTCTTTCATTTCCATCGACGCCTGCATTTCCCGGAACAAAAATAAAGGTGACTCCTCGCACAGTGGACTTCTGAATTGATTCAAGCCCAAGTCAACGACCAGCAATGCTGAAGTTTAGCTGAGGGAAAAGGGTGCATAAAATACATCACTGCACAGGGCGTGTAGCAGATCCATAAACACCTGGAAAGAGAAGGCCGGTCACAAAAGTGAATGGAGGTGGGCGATATCTGCAGGGCTCCAAATACTTAATAAGATGAGTTGGTTGAGGCAAGCTCCGTACTTTATTGGCAGATGAATGTGCAGCAGAAGACAGAAAAATATTTCCTAGAAGAGTTCAATGTTACATACTTGGACAAGCCAGTGTCCTCAGTCTGAGACAAGTGCAGAGTGGCAACCAATCACAGTGCACAGCAACACAGGTTCCAACATAGGCAGAGCAATGGCTCACCTGTAGCCATGATGTGGCACTCTGGCACTACACACAGGTTTCTGATCACTGAGGATCCTTGGCTGGTTTGGTACATGCCTCTGGCAGCCATTGATTGACAGTGGCCCATAAATAGCAGTCTTACATGAGGTTCTGTGAACCCAGCAATGCTGTCACTGTGACCAGGTGCAGGACATCCTCGACACAATGACCCCATGAAGGTAATTGAACTCAACCAATGACCTCATGGATGTAATTAAACTTAACACAATAACATCATGGATGTAATTAGATAAGACCAATCATTACTACAGATGGACCCCGTAAAAGTTGTACAAAGTATTCTCAATGTGATCTACATACTTTGGCTTCCTGTACTTGGGTCGGTCATCTTTTTTACTTAAAGGTCTGCAGGCATTTTCCTCTACTTCTGGGTCAGGCTCGTCCACTATGGGGGGCAGTGGAAGATCACGGATGCCTCGAGGACGGGCTGTTATACTTTCTCTATCCTTGACTTTGGTTTCACTGTGGCAACAACAAAAAGTGGAAAACTGCATGTAACTGGAAAATAAATAAGATTTTTAATATATATATATATATAAACACTGCGGACAGGTCCATAGGTGCTCCGATCTCCTCCTCTATAGCCCCACAACTGATCATGCCCGCCCTGTGTAGGCTAACTTAACAAGACGGCTTGTGCCCTTGGTGAAATATTCATGTCTAGCTGCTCCAGGCTGAACTTCCATGTCCACCAATCTAGTCCTGCTTGTTGTCGTGATATTCTTGAAGAGCATGTGGTGTAAAGGGTGCTTCAGAACTGAGCTTATCTTGAGGTAAACACGAGGCCTCCCGATCTTGATCCTGTAGTTCATGGTAGGGAAGTCAAAAAGGTACCCCACTGCTACACAAGAGGTGTCTGCAGTGCGCCCTAGAATAACGCGCATCGCTTTATTTTGCACCTTCTCAAGTCTTTCAGTCTGAGTATTGCTGACAGTGAGGATAGCAAGAGCATATTCGATGGGAGAAAGGACAAGTCCCTGGAACAGAAGCAGAAGCACTCTCTGCTCAGTGTTAGCGGTGGCCAGGACCCCCATTGCTAACAGGCCTTTGCGTGCTTTTGTTATGACATGGTCAACTTGTTCTTTGAAAAGCAGGCTGCGATCAGTCGGTTTATCTGCAGTGAGCATGTTCATGGTGGTCAACCTTGTGGAGGTATCTTGTATGCTGGTCTGCTTGCGGATCTGTCCAGCAATGCTTTGTGTAAGGACTTAGTTCAAAGTGAAAAATTCTGTGTACAGACTTGATTCAAAGTTTTAAAATATGTGTACAGACTTGATTCAAAGTAATAAATTCTGTGTAAAGACTTGATACAAAGTTATAAAATATGTGTACAGACTTGATTCAAAGTGACAATACCTGTAGGGACTTGATTCATAGTCAGCATCATCCGGCGGACCCACATCTGGAAGAGGCAGTTTGGGTAAAGTGGACATGTGGTTGCCTCTAGATCTATGGTCAAGTTCTTGCCCACGACCTCCATTCTGCCTGACATCAGAGCCCACTTTTGCTGCTGGCACCTCCTCAAGGACGTCCTTGTGAAGTGCTGAAGTCTCTGGAGGATAAACTGGATTGGCATTGTGAAGTGTTTGTGGTGGCAGAGGTGGGGGTGGAGGTGGTGGTGGTTGTTCAGGCACTGAAGGAGGGCTGTGCTTCACCGGGGTCTCAACTTTAATGGAGACGCTGGCAGGTTTCACTTGAGCTGGTGTTGGAGACCGACTGATAATCTCCAGATCAGGAGAGCTTGCCTTGCTATCTACATAGTCTACAGGTTGTTCGTTTTTCCTCTTCCTTTCTCTTGCCTTGCGCAGCATTCTCAGCTCAGCTGCTAAACTGGTTGTGTATGGCGCTGGACTGCTCAATTTATTTCTAGAGGAGAATGCTGAATTTCTTGACGGACTTGGTGAAAGACGACTGTAGTTGCGACCTGAGCCTGGAGAAATTGATCTCATATGCTTCTTGGAATACCGACTGAAATTAGTAACACTCCTAGAGGCTGTGTACTTTTTTCTGAGGAGAAATAATGCAGATAGAATCACACAACGGTTTCAGTTGTTTAGTGTATGGTTAGAATGACACAACGGTTTCAGTTGTTTAGTGTATGGTAAGAATGACACAACGGTTTCAGTTGTTTAGTGTATGGTAAGAATGACACACAACGGTTTCAGTTGTTTAGTGTATGATAAGAATGACACACAACGCTTTCAATTGTTAAGTGTGCAGAGAGAATTACCCACATTGCTATCAGCTGTTTAGTGTGCAGAGAGCAGCTGTTTAGTGTGCAGAGAGCAGCTGTTTAGTGCTGAGAGCAGCTGTTTAGTGCTGAGAGCAGCTGTTTAGTGCAGAGAGCAGCTGTTGTGTGCAGAGAGCAGCTGTTTAGTGTGCAGAGAACAGGTGTTTAGTGTGCAGAGAGCAGCTGTTTAGTGTGCAGAGAGCAGCTGTTTAGTGTGCAGAGATCAGCTGTTTAGTGTGCAAACAGAAAACCTACAAACCCCAGTACATATCTGTGGACAGGAAGATTTTTTTAATCTGATAAAAGTGACCATCTCTATGACCTCAAATATTTGATTCAGTAAGTGTTACAGTACTTGCCTTAGTGTGATACTTAACAGAGACTGGCAGGATGGTAAGTGAGAAGATAGAGAGGAAGGTAAGTAAGAAGGTAGAGAGGATAGTAAGTGAGAGGGTAGACAGGATGGTGAGAATATGATTATATATAAGAAGGCAGACAGGATGGTAAGAAAGCATATGGTGGTATATGAGAAGGTAGACAGGATGGCAATAAAGATTTTGATGGTATTTGAAAAGGTAGACTAGACAGTGAGAAAGAATATGATGGTATATGAGAAGATAGATAGGATAGTAAAAAAGAATATGATGGTATATGAAAAGGTAGACATGATGGTATATGAAAAGGTAGACAGGATGGTAAGAAAGAATATGATGGTATATGAAAAAGTAGACAGGACAGTAAGAAAAAATATGATAGTACATCAGAAGATGGGCACAAAGTAAAATTATTGATTGGCAGGATGACAAACATTTGACTAATGTTGTTTGTCTATGACAGCTGGTCTTTACCTATGGGTTGCAACCCTGTTGTGGGTCATTGAGCCTTTCATATGGGTCGCTTAAGACCATCGGAAAAAAACACATATTAACTAAAGTTATGAAGTAACGATGAAAATAATTTTACATCACAATATGAGGAACTGTATTAAATGGTCGCAGCATTAGGAGAACTGAGAACCACTGGTCTATGAGAACAGTCCACTGTGCTGAGAAAGCTAGGTGTACAATTTCTGAAGGTCATCAAAATTTCAATGGCAGCCATCAGTTCTGGAATCATGTGAAAACTACAGTTTCAACAATCATCAGTTCTGGGATTATGTTGACATACTAAGACAGTTTCTACAATCATTCGCTCTAGGATCATTAATCATATGAACATGCTAAGGCAATTTCTACAATCATCAGCTCTGGAATCATGTGGACATACTTAGACTTTCTACAATCATCAGCTCTGGGATCATGTGGACATACTTAGACAGCTTCTACAATCATCAGTTCTGGAATCATGTGGACATACTTAGACAGCTTCTACAATCATCAGTTCTGGAATCATGTGGACATACTTAGACTTTCTACAATCATCAGCTCTGGCATCATGTGGACATACTTAGACAGCTTCTACAATCATCAGTTCTGGAATCATGTGGATATACTTAGACTTTCTACAATCATCAGTTCTGGAATCATGTTGATATACTATAGACAGCTTCTACAATCATCAGTTCTGGAATCATGTGGATATACTAAGACTTTCTACAATCATCAGTTCTGGAATCATGTGGACATACTTAGACAGCTTCTACAATCATCAGTTCTGGAATCATGTCGATATACTATAGACAGCTTCTACAATCATCAGTTCTGAGAACAGTTGGACATACTAAGACAGCTACAATCATCGGTTCTGGGATCATGTGGACATAAGTCTACAATCATCAGTTATGAGAATGAGGATATACTAAGACTCTACAATCATCAGTTCTGGTTTTATGTGGATATACTATAGACAGTTTCTACAATCATTAATTCTAAGACCAGGTGAACATACTACAGACAGTTATTACAATCAACATTTCCCAGAAAAAGCAGACACCAGCATGCCTGTGTAGTAATGATATGTTTCTACTGATGCTGTCCTTTGGCATTATAAGCTAATTGATCAGCTCCCTATCACACAGAAACTTAGCCATTGCATGGGACTGAATCAATTCCAAAACTGCATGATCTGTAGACTAAGCAATTCAGAAATAGGAATTAAAATTGCACCATTGGTAGACAGGGCTACCTGCAGGCAATAGATGGGTGGGTCTGACTGACTGACTGACTTTCTACCCCACCAGGACATCACACAAGCGATAAACACCCGATGACACAAAGTGCCACCATGCGGATGAGGATCGCCGTGGAGAGGTCCCAGAAACCGCGTTCAGACAATTGGCCATATTTATGGCCTGCCTATATTGCGGCCCCTGGCAAAAGCCAGGGTGGGGCTTCAAATAACAAAAAATTTCGTCCTGAAAAGTACGAAACTGTAAATTAAAATAAGGGTGGGTCTGTCAGCTGTCCATTAATATGCGAGTCTGTCAGCTGTCCATTAATATGTGGGTCTGTCAGCTGTTCATTAATGTGTGGGTCTGTCCATTAATATGTGGGTCTGTCCATTAATATGTGGGTCTGTCAGCTGTTCATTAATATGTGGGTCTGTCAGCTGTCCATTAGTATGTGGGTCTGTCAGCTGTCCATTAATATGTGGGTCTGTCAGCTATCCATTAATATGTGGGTCTGTCAGCTATCCATTAATATGTGGGTCTGTCAGCTATCCATTAATATGTGGTTCTGTCAGCTGTCCATTAATATGTAGGTCTGTCAGCTATCCATTAATATGTGGTTCTGTCAGTTATCCATTAATATGTGGGTCTGTCAGCTATCCATTAATATGTGGTTCTGTCAGCTGTCCATTAATATGTGGGTCTGTCAGCTGTCCATTAATATGTGGGTCTGTCAGCTGTCCAATAATATGTGGGTCTGTCAGCTATCCATCGCTAAATTTCGTCCGGGAGAAAAGAAATCTGCACTTTTCTATGGAAGACAGTGTGTCGACCCGGTCAAACGAAGCACACAAACTTGTCGGCATGCTGTATATACACAGCCATGACTTAAACTAGTTGCAGCCGGTTGTGCACAGCGAACAAAGGCAGGTCATAACACTGTCCCGGGTAACTCCCTTCGAAATCTCACGCCAAAGCAGATGGGGTAAAAAATCTGAATAGAACCATTTTTGGGAGTAACTGTTTAAATTGCTGGTTCGTTTAAAAAAATTATGACATCTCCCTGTGTTTATTGTGATACAGCATGAACTGCTTCAGTGAAATTGTATCCCTTGAGAGCGCCGTCACTCATATCTGAATCCAGGAAGTGATTTCCACATGAGCTGAAAAGAGCTGTCCAGGTCACATCATTTGTGATGTTTTCTAGACTTCCAGCAGAAATGTTCGATTAGACAAATCAAGCTAGTCATGTGGTGCTGATCCATGGGTGAAGCCTTCTATCAGCTTCAAGTGACTTTTACCAACCATCACTTCATAAAGTGCCTCTCAAATTAAGAGCAGAGAGAAATAAATGTTTGGGTGAGATGATTGTCCTACAGATTAGAAATGTTTAGATGAGATGATTGTCCTACAGATTAGAAATGTTTAGACGAGATGATTGTCCTACAGATTAGAAATGTTTAGATGAGATGATTGTCCTACAGATTAGAAATGTTTAGGTGAGATGCCTTTCCTACAAGTAGAGAAATGTTTAGGTGAGATGCTTGTCCTACAGATTAGAAATGTTTAGATGAGATGATTGTCCTACAGATTAGAAATGTTTAGATGAGATGCCTGTCCTACAGATTAGAAATGTTTAGATGAGATGATTGTCCTACAGATTAGAAATGTTTAGGTGAGATGCCTTTCCTACAAGCAGAGAAATGTTTAGGCGAGATGCCTGTCATACAAGTAGAAAAATGTTTAGGTGAGATGCCTGTCATACAAGTAGAGAAATGTTTAGGTGAGATGCCTGTCATACAAGTAGAGAAATGTTTAGGCGAGATGCCTGTCATACAAGCAGAGAAATGTTTAGGTGAGATGCCTTTCCTACAAGCAGAGAAATGTTTAGGCGAGATGCCTGTCATACAAGCAGAGAAATGTTTAGGTGAGATGCCTTTCCTACAAGCAGAGAAATGTTTAGGCGAGATGCCTGTCATACAAGTAGAAAAATGTTTAGGTGAGATGCCTGTCATACAAGTAGAGAAATGTTTAGGTGAGATGCCTGTCATACAAGTAGAGAAATGTTTAGGCGAGATGCCTGTCATACAAGCAGAGAAATGTTTAGGTGAGATGCCTTTCCTACAAGCAGAGAAATGTTTAGACGAGATGCCTGTCATACAAGCAGAGAAATGTTTAGGTGAGATGCCTTTCCTACAAGCAGAGAAATGTTTAGGCGAGATGTCTGTCATACAAGTAGAGAAATGTTTTGGTGAGATGCCTGTCCTAGAAGCAGAGAAATGTTTAGATGAGATCCATCCTACAACTACAAGTAAAAAAATGTTTAAGTAAGATGCCTCTTACAACTAGACATTCCAAGGAAAGACCAGATGGGACACATCAGGCCACAACTGGCCTGGGAACATTAGTACCAGGACTTTGCGACACAACAGAGCTGATGACGGATGCATCCGCAAATGTATCCTGTGCTGTGATATCCAACTATTTAACTAACTACTCATTACCTATTGTTTACTTCTACATGTGGGGGCAGTCTCTATGTGAATATCCCATAACTGGCCAGGTCATTGACCTGCGGCAGATGTGCTGATAAGCGTTAGTGAGTGTTGGGTTGATCAGCTATCTACTTTTGCTATTATAAAAACTAAATACAAATTACTGGGGAAGAATAGTACAAGACTAAACAATAACAGACTCAACATAGTAAACTTGTTTGTAAATTGAATGTACTCACCTGCTGCTGACACTGGGTGAGCTGCGCTTTTCTCTCTTCTCATACTTGTAATAGGGGCTTGGGCTCCGGTGCCTTTTCTCATCATTGTCTTTATAGTCCATAAGATATGCTTTGGGTAAATCCGTGTACACTTTGGAACTGTCTCTGGAATCCGGTGGGAAACTAGTCCTGGGCACAGAGTTGTGTTGTTTCACATCTCTGTGGCTGTGGCTTTCCGGAACGCCATAGTCCTCGGCCGGTGAACGACGTTTGTGTTTGGTTCGCTTCTTTTTGCTTTTGGCAGGCCGGTTGCGTGAATGCGACCTGGAGCCATCGTTCCTCTCCTTGGATGCACTCCGACTTCTGTATCTACCGTGGGCCCGAACGACATTTACGGGCGAGTCGTTTCGTTTGATGGAGTTGCGCCCATGGCGTGCCTGGCCGTAGTTGTCCGACGATCGACTTGTGCCTGTCGGTACGGCCCTGCTTGTATGCGACGATCTGGACGCCGATTCTATCGTCGATTGTGGACTTACCGAAACAATATCAGAATCTGAGCTTATGTCGTCGTAGTCAACCAGAGATTTCTGGAGTGGTGGCTTTTCCTCCCGATCTTTCGATCGCTTTCTGTGGCTTTTCTTCTTCTTGGAATGTTTCTTAGAACCGCCATAACTGTTTTGTGACTGCGAGGCTCCCTGTCCTTCAGGAACGAGGTGGGAGTAGAATCTTGCGTCGTATTCGTCGTCGTACAGCTGTTTTCTTGAATTCTTAGGCATGGCTGTGAATGAAAAGAAACATACAGTTATTAAACAGTATGTCTGTGAACCCCCGACAGCTTATAATGTCATAGCACCCAAGTAAACATACTCCCATTCCCATCGCTAAGCCTTTCGTTCGTTTCCCCCAGTTTTAGTATTTTTGTGCAGACATTTGACCTGCTAGTTCTCATTATCTTAAATAAATTTTCATTATTTACATTCTTCATCGTACTTTTTACTTATTTTATATTATTTTCGTCATGTTTTTGTCAGTGGATGACGTTGGATAGTGTAGATTGCCCCCAGAATGATTATTCTACATTCCCCCAAGCCAACTATTGAACGTCATTTTACCGTCGTCACGGCAAGTGCATTGTGGGAGACTATAACTCTAGCCAGATACGCTGTGGGTAGTAGGTTCATATTCTAGCAACAATGAAAAAGATTCGCCTGTCCAGATAAAATGACACATTTAGCTAAAGAAAATAAAAGTCACAATTATACAGTAGGTGCGAATGTTAGTTGTTTGATGAAACAATGCTTCATGAACAAATATTTTGTCTTCATCCTTTAGCCAACTAATGAGACAATATGGCATGTTGTCCAGGTTATAGTCCATAGCTCCGTTATCTCACATTCAGGAAACAACAACCTGAAAGTGTTTCCAGTTAGATTCGAACCAAATATCTTTACGCCGCTTGTGTTTATATAGTTTGGGCCCCAAAATGTGCAAACAACAAACCATAACTAGACCCCTAGTCTTCGTCTGTCCTCAAAAAATCATCCACGTTTACTGAGCCCAAACCATGCTATAAATATCATCGGAAAAACCTGTTGGTGTGAATCCTGGAATGCTCGACTGACTTAAGGTTTCAGATATTGTCACTGATACCTTTGAGTTTCTTGTAATACCCCGCACATTTTCAGTGATACTTTGGGTTTTCTTGTAACGTTCCACAAATTTTCAGTGATACTTTGGAGTTTCTTGTAATACACCACACATTATCAATGATACTTCGGGTTTTCTTGTAATACCCCACACATTTTCAGTGATACTTTGAGTTTTCTTGTAACACCCCACACATTATCAATGATACTTCGGGGTTTCTTGTAACACCCCACACATTATCAGTGACACTTTGGATTTTCTTGTAACACCCCACACATTATCAATGAAACTTTGGGTTTTCTTGTAATACCACACACATTTTCAGTGATACTTTGGATTTTCTTGTAATACCACACATTTTCAGTGATACTTTGGGTTTTCTTGTAATACACCACACATTTTCAGTGATACTTTGGGTTTTCTTGTAATACCCCGCACATTTTCAGTGACACTTTGGGTTTTCTTGTAACACCCCACACATTATCAATGATACTTTGGGATTTCTTGTAATACCACACACATTTTCAGTGATACTTTGGGTTTTCTTGTAATACCACCCATATTTTCAGTGATAATTTGGGTTTGTTGTTTTTTTTTTTTTTTTTGTAATACCCTACACATTTTCAGTGATACTTTGGGTTTTCTTGTAACGTTCCAGTGATGCTTTGGGTTTTCTTGTAATACCACACATATTTTCAGTGATACTTTGGAGTTTCTTGTAATTTGGATTTACTGAAACAATATCAGAATCTGAGCTCATATCGATGTAGTTTACAAAAGATTTATGGATCTCCTTCCGATCTTTCGATCGACTAATTATTTGTTTAATATTCACTGACATATGTCTTGTTCCCGGCCTGTAGTTCTTCGCACACATCGGTTTTACAGATCTGACTTATTCAAATGCAGACTGCTGGTTCCACGTCACTTTGGTAAACGCACTCCACTTGGAAGGAAGCCACCCTGATTCTTCGCATTTCAAGATATACTTGTTATGGGACAGTGTCTACTCACTCCCCCTCCACCCCAGTGGGGGTGGCGGAACCGAGGGGGGAGTGTTTATAATTGAAAGACGTGGATGTGAGTGCATGGAGCCACTATGTGAGCTAAGATTTGAAAGACGTGTATGTGAGTGCATGGAGCCACTCAGTGAGCTAAGATTTGAAAGACGTGAATGTGAGTGCATGGAGCCACTCTATAAGCTAGGAATTGAAAGACGTGGATGTGAGTACATGGAGCCACTCTGTGAGCTAAGAATTGAAAGACGTGGATGTGAGTTCTTGGAGCCACTCTGTGAGCTAGGAATTGAAAGACATGGATGTGAGTACATGGAGCCACTCTGTGAGCTAAGAATTGAAAGACGTGTATGTAGGTGCATGGAGCCACTCTGTAAGCTAAAAATTTAAAGACATGGATGTGAGTGCATGGAGCCACTCTGTGAGCTAAGAATTGAAAGACGTGGATGTGAGTGTATGGAGCCCCTCTATGAGCTAAGAATTGAAAGACGTGGATGTGAGTACATGGAGCCACTCTTGAGCTAGGAATTGAAAGACGTGAATGTGAGTACATGGAGCCACTCTGTGAGCTAAGAATTGAAAGACGTGTATGTGAGTATATGGAGCCCCTCTGTGAGCTAAGAATTGAAAGACGTGTGTGTGAGAGTACATGGAGCCACTCTGTGAGCTAAGAATTGAAAGACGTGGATGTGAGTGTATGGAGCCACTCTATGAGCTAGGAATTGAAAGACGTGGATGTGAGTACATGGAGCCACTCTGTGAGCTAAGAATTGAAAGACGTGTATGTGAGTATATGGAGCCCCTCTGTGAGCTAAGAATTGAAAGACGTGTGTGTGAGTACATGGAGCCACTCTGTGAGCTAAGAATTGAAAGACGTGGATGTGAGTGTATGGAGCCACTCTATGAGCTAGGAATTGAAAGACGTGGATTTGAGTACATGGAGCCACTCTGTGAGCTAGGAATTGAAAGACATGGATGTGAGTACATGGAGCCACTTTATGAGCTAAGAATTGAAAGACGTGGATGTGAGTACATGGAGCCACTCTGTGAGCTAAGAATTAAAAGACGTGTATGTGAGTGCATGGAGAAACTCTGTGAGCTAGGAATTGAAAGACGTGTATGTGAGTGCAAGGAGAAACTCTGTGAGCTAGGAATTGAAAGACATGGATGTGAGTGCATGGAGCCATTCTGTGAGCTAGGAGTTGAAAGACATGGATGTGAGTGCATGGAGAAACTCTGTGAGCTAGGAATTGAAAGACGTGTAATCGGGGATTCCAGTCTCTCTTACGCCTTCCTACCCCCACACCACATTATTTAAACAATGCCTTTGGTCTTATTTCAGACCAGGGGACCTCAACCCACTAGAAGCACAAGCGTCTGGAACCAATCTCTCTTAAGCTGTCTGTCATTCTCACTATTCCGACCTTTCTATCAAATCTCTTGGCACATTCAAGCAATTCGTTTTTTCCCTCTCTTCTAGTGGGGGTGGGGGGGGGGGGGGCGGTATGATTACAACAACAGATTGTTACGGCCCTGATTGTCATGAAAATTAACATTGTTGGAGACGGTGATTTGTGGTGTTTGTTTCGCTTTTCCCCGCGGCTTCATAGAGCGGTAACCCAGCTGGCAATAGGGCACCAGCGCAGCGACTAGCGCGAGTTAAACCAAGCACCAGCAACAATCAGCGACAGTAAATTGATACACTGCCCAGCGACAGGTGAATTGATACACTGCCCAGCGACAGGTGAGTTGATACATTGTCCAGCGACAGGTGAATTGATACACTGCCCAGCGACAGGTGAATTGATACATTATCCAGCGACAGGTAAATTGATACATTGCCCAGCGACAGGTAAATTGATACATTGCCCAGCGACAGGTAAATTGATACATTGCCCAGCGACAGGTAAATTGATACATTGCCCAGCGACAGGTAAATTGATACACTGTCCAGCGACAGGTAAATTGATACATTGCCCAGCGACAGGTAAATTGATACATTGTCCAGCGACAGGTAAATTGATACATTGTCCAGCGACAGGTAAATTGATACATTGTCCAGCGACAGGTGAGTTGATACATTGTCCAGCGACAGGTGAATTGATACATTGTCCAGCGACAGGTAAATTGATACATTGCCCAGGGACAGGTGAGTTGATACATTGTCCAGCGACAGGTGAGTTGATACATTGTCCAGCGACAGGTGAGTTGATACATTGTCCAGCGACAGGTGAGTTGATACATTGTCCAGCGACAGGTGAATTGATACACTGTCCAGCGACAGGTAAATTGATACATTGCCCAGCGACAGGTAAATTGATACATTGCCCAGCGACAGGTGAATTGATACATTGTCCAGCGACAGGTAAACTGATACATTGCCTAGCGACAGGTAAATTGATACATTGCCCAGCGACAGGTAAATTGATACATTGCCCAGCGACAGGTAAACTGATACATTGCCCAGCGACAGGTAAATTGATACATTGCCCAGCGACAGGTAAATTGATACATTGCCCAGCGACAGGTAAACTGATACATTGCCCAGCGACAGGTAAACTGATACATTGCCCAGCGACAGGTGAATTGATACATTGTCCAGCGACAGGTAAATTGATACATTGTCCAGCGACAGGTGAGTTGATACATTGTCCAGCGACAGGTGAGTTGATACATTGTCCAGCGACAGGTAAATTGATACATTGTCCAGCGACAGGTAAATTGATACATTGTCCAGCGACAGGTAAACTGATACATTGCCCAGCGACAGGTGAATTGATACATTGCCCAGCGACAGGTAAATTGATACATTGCCCAGCGACAGGTGAATTGATACATTGTCCAGCGACAGGTGAATTGATACATTGTCCAGCGACAGGTAAATTGATACATTGTCCAGCGACAGGTGAATTGATACATTGCCCAGCGACAGGTAAATTGATACATTGCCCAGCGACAGGTGAATTGATACATTGCCCAGCGACAGGTAAATTGATACATTGCCCAGCGACAGGTAAATTGATACATTGCCCAGCGACAGGTGAATTGATACATTGCCCAGCGACAGGTGAATTGATACATTGTCCAGCGACAGGTGAATTGATACATTGCCCAGCGACAGGTAAATTGATACATTGCCCAGCGACAGGTGAATTGATACATTGTCCAGCGACAGGTGAATTGATACATTGTCCAGCGACATGTAAATTGATACACTGTCCAGCGACAGGTAAATTGATACATTGCCCAGCGACAGGTGAATTGATACATTGCCCAGCGACAGGTAAATTGATACATTGCCCAGCGACAGGTGAATTGATACACTGCCCAGCGACAGGTGAATCGATACATTGCCCAAACTGAAGATACGAAGACATTTGTTGCAGGAGAAAATCTTAATCGTAAAACCAAACAAAATGTCAAATTGTGTCCTCTTTCAGCTGCCCGAAGGCCCGATTTATTGAAGACGGTTTCTTTGCTATCTGATTGAATTCGATTCTGTGTGGCGATCATTTTCGCCTGTTAGATCATTTGCTGCTGCATCATGCCTGCTCAATCAGGCTTCTCGGAGGAGAAAATACAAAGAGTGGCCTATTTATGACAAGATAGGCCATGTGTATTATTTCCCGGTTATGTCCCTTTTTAATAAATCACTTTATTTTTGTTGCTTCTACGAGAAGCTGTGATTGATTGACTTTCTACCCCACTAGGACATCACACAAGCAAAAAACACCCGATGACACAAGGTGCCACCATGTGGATGAGGATCACCGTGGAAAGGTCCTAGAAACCGCGTTCAGACAATTGGCCATATTTATGGCCTGCCTATATTGCGGCCCCTGGCAAAAGCCAGAGTGGGGCTTCAAATAACAAAAATTACGTCCTCAAAAGAACGTAAGGATATAGTAAGGACGGTAAGCATATAATTACGAGAAGCTGTATATTTTTCAAAAATGTAATATTCTACCCTTAAGGTTAACATTTTGGATGTATAGTGTTAATGAGTTCCCAGAGAATACATTTATCGTTTTATATTTATACATTGTGTAATTATTTATGTAACACAAATATTTATAATGTGTACTGTTGCCCATAATGATCTCATTTGGCTTGTGAATATGACAAACTGTACTATGAATAATAAAACAATCTTAACATTGTGTCATTAAAATGATTCGTTTTATTATTATTCCACTTAGTGTGATAGTTGATTATTCCCCTGAGTGTGATAGTTGATTATTCCCCTTTGTGTGATAGTTGATTATTCCCCTTAGTGTGATAGTTGATTATTCCCCTTAGTGTGATAGTTGATTATTCTCCTCTATTGTATCATTAGAGAAAACTTCTTCAAATATGCCAGGGGCATTCTTTCCCATTCTCTATATGGATTTTAGTTCTAGTAATACATTGCTGGACCTTGCCATGCAACTCTCAAAGGCTGTCTATGTGCAACAAGTTGTCCATCCTCATAGGTAATTTACAGCATTCATATAGCCAACTAACGGTTTTCTTTTGCTTTTTAGATTTCTTACACAAGTAAAGTAGCTTCTGGTCTGTATAAATGTGATCTTGGCGGTAGTACTCGATAAAGACAGGGATAAGGCATCTGTAGTGAGTCATTTTCTCCCCATTAAGTTATGCCCGATAGATGTAGTGAGTCATTTTCTCCCCATTAAGTTATGCCCGATAGATGACGTCAGTAATAAATGTAAGGCGAATGTTTGACTGACTGAGATAACACGAGATTTATGTCTTGAGTTTCATGAGAGACATCTGAAAGTCAGGTTTTATGTGAAACATGATTGTTCACGTGAACCATGAAGGTTGACTGGCAGGATTCGCGTGAAATGCGAATTATCACGGGCCAGACACGACAATTCGTGAGAATGAAATTATCCAGAATATTCGAGAACAGGACAGATCAGAGGGCTATATAATAGCGAAGAAAAGGTTTGTGAGGCAGTCTCGTTTAGGCCAAGGGAAAGGTGTACGTGTGAAAAAGTTCGGAAGAATGTTGACGTCTGAATAGCGCGATTTCCCAATGCCTACCTGGCATAAAATAGCGGCTGACGGAAACGGTGGCCAGCTGTGAATGACTGTCGTTCTGGATGGAGGGAGCTACTGTGTTCTTTGAGTGGTGTGTATATTCTACGATGTTACAAAGGTATGATTGACTGTTTAGAGCATTGATGAGTGATACAATCGTATATAAACATTTACTGACTGCAACATTAGCGAGTGAAAATAAACAGTACGTGTAACTTCTGAACGTCTGCCAGCGTCCATGTTTTCTCGTTCTCGTCAGTTGGTGAATGGAAAGATGCGGTGACTCACTCGAGCCAGCAATTACTAACAATGAAGATCACTGCAGAATGGGAGCTCCTATTTTGAGACAACCTGACCCTTCCAAAAGATTTTTTCTACAATCAGATGCCAGCGGTCACACAATAGCTAGCATGCTTGCGCAGAAACATTCACAAACATTACTCCCAGTAATGTATATGTCACAGAAACTTAACCAAACTCAACAAAAATACAATACATTTGAACGAGAAGCGTTGGCACTAGTTATTAGTCTAAAAAAGTTTCAGAAGTTTCTTTTGGGAAAAGAATTCACAATTTTAACAGATACCTTGGGGTTGACAAAATTATTAACAATTGATGCCAATAGCAATCCAAGGGTATATAGATGGGCATTGTTGATATCACAATTCAAATTTAACATTGAACACATCAAAGGAACAGACAATCATTTACCAGATATCATGTCACGTTTGTAGAATATGTTGCAACTGCTATTACAACTTGTATTAACTAAAATCATTTTATGCAAGGGTATGCATTGTATTACTGTATGAATGTATTATATGAATTTATAACTTGGAAAAAGTATGTTTTGATTTGAACGGGTATAATATAGTAAACAATTAAAATTAAAGGGAGACAACATTCAGTGTTAAAATACACCTCACCAGAAAATGTTACATTTACTAGTATACTAAATTGAATTGGTGTAGCATTTAATTTGAATATGTGTGTTAATGAGACATGTTGTAGTTTCTGAAGACAAGGTAATTAACTACATCTTGTACCTTACATATTTGGGAACAAAACCATACATTGCTGATTTAGCCATTGTTGAGGGCTTTCATGAATGGGAAAAGCGAGGGTGGGACTTCATGGGGTCACACTTCGGTTTTAGAGCCAAGATTTTGGACTTCCGCACCGATCGGGGGGTGCCAGGAGAGGGCTTCGGTTGTATACCGACTTTAGAACTAGGTGATGATACATATGGAGCCAGATTATTGGTCTTCCGCACTAAAAGGGGAGTGCCTGGGGTGAGGATCCCATTAAGGTATTCACAGTCGTGCAAAGACCCAACAGATGGCATTTTAGAGTGTTTGAATTGTTAACCTAATGAGGAAAAGGGAACTTGGTTGGAAATGAACTTGTCGAAAATGATTCACTACAGAGGTCTAGAATCACAATGTTCAGTGAAATGTTCACACCTGATTGATTGAAAATGTAAAACATTTTTTTGGGGTGGGGGAGAATGTAGTGAGTCATTTTCTCCCCATTAAGTTATACCCGATAGATGACGTCAGTAATAAATGTAAGGCGAATGTTTGACTGACTGAGATAACACGAGATTTATGTCTTGAGTTTCATGAGAGACATCTGAAAGTCAGGTTTTATGTGAAACATGATTGCTCACGTGAACCATGAAGGTTGACTGACAGGATTCGCGTGAAATGCGAATTATCACGGGCCAGATACGACAATTCGTGAGAATGAAATTATCCAGAATATTCGAGAACAGGACAGATCAGAGGGCTATATAATAGCGAAGAAAAGGTTTGTGAGGCAGTCTCGTTTAGGCCAAGGGAAAGGTGTACGTGTGAAAAAGTTCGGAAGAATGTTGACGTCTGAATAGCGTGATTTCCCAATGCCTACCTGGCATAAAATAGCGGCTGACGGAAACGGTGGCCAGCTGTGAATGACTGTCGTTCTGGATGGAGGGAGCTACTGTGTTCTTTGAGTGGTGTGTATATTCTACGATGTTACAAAGGTATGATTGACTGTTTAGAGCATTGATGAGTGATACAATCGTATATAAACATTTACTGACTGCAACATCAGCGAGTGAAAATAAACAGTACGTGTAACTTCTGAACGTCTGCCAGTGTCCATGTTTTCTCGTTCTCGTCAGTTGGTGAATGGAAAGATGCGGTGACTCACTCGAGCCAGCAATTACTAACAATGAAGATCACTGCAGCATCACCACTTCTGTTTACCTCTTACATCGACATTATAAGCAAAAAATACCAAGTCCCAGAATAAGAACAAATACAATTTCTGTAAACAACTTATTGCTGATGGTTAGGCCTTGATGGCAGAAACAGCCATGACATTGTAACATCTCGCATCTGTGATTCAAGAAAGCAAAATGACTAATATGAGAATCAGGTAGAAGGCACAATATTAAAAGGTGCCAGAGTTTGAATCTCTTAGAATGAAGTTCAGTCCTTAGTGAACAATAAAATTGTTGTCTAACATCTAACTACACACGTAGTGAAAGTCTGTAGTTTAGAAGTCCTTCATTGGGTGATAATAGCAGACCGCGTGCACCAACAACAAGTAATATTCTGAATCAAACAAATAAAATCTAATAATCACAGAGGTGGTGGCAGTGACGAGAAGATTGTCTCTTGATTGCCAAGAGGCCGAGACATTAGCAAAAGTGGTGACGTGTCTCTCGATGACCAGACGGCCGAGACAAGAGTGCGATACATCTCTCGATGGCCTTGCGGCCGAGACAATGTCAATTTGTAGGCCATTGGCTGAAGTAGTTACCAAAAATATCAGTTTGTAGGCTTTCCAGAAGCCGAGGTAATGTCCGATATGTCTCTCGATGGTCACGCGGCCGAGACAAGTGGATCTATTGTAGGCTTCCCTGAAGCTGAGGTAAAACTTATGGAAAGTCCTTTAAATGCCGCGCGGTGGTGGCAAAAGCAAACGTCTTCTTA